CCACCACCCACCCACCCACCACCACACACACACACACACACACACACACACACACACACACACACACACACACACACACACACACACACACACACCTGCGGCTAACTTGCCTGGCTGGCTGGCTGGCTTGTGCCCTCGCTTTGTCGACCTTCTTGGCCTTTGTGTGTGTCAAAAGGTGTGTCGCACAGCGACAGGGGACGAAATTCGCCGGGCGTACCGCAAGCTTGCGCTGCGGTGGCACCCCGACAAGAACCCGGGTCGAGAAGAGGAAGCAACAGCAAACTTCAAGCGCATCAGCGAAGCATACGATGTCCTCTCTGATGGTGCGTTTGCCGCTGTTGTTGCTGCTGCTGCTGCTGCTGCTGCTGCTGCTGCTGCTGCTGCTGTTGTTGTTGTTGTTGTTGTTGTTGTTGTTGTTGTTGTGTCAACAGTTTGCTTTTCTTGTCTCAGTCGCTCTTCTATGTATCTCGTGGATGGAGTGTCAAACTCAACAAACCGCAACAGCCTCACACACACTCACCCACACACGTACACATACACACACTTACACCCACATGCCTGTGGGGCGCAGAAACCAAGAGGTCCATTTACGACAGATATGGCTACGAAGGCCTGAAAGAGGGCGGCACGCGGCCAAACGCAGGCTTTCATTTCAGGGACACCTCCGACATTTTCCGGTGCGCCGCCATGGCATGCCACTTGCAGCTTGTATGCCTCCTCGCTTGCTTCCTTGCTTGCAATACTTTTTGCCTTGCACCCTTCTTGCTTGGATGCAATTACCCTCTCAGACGCCCAAACAACAACAACAACAACAACAACAACAACAACAACCTGACGTGCTGTGCAACCTATTGCCCGTGTGTGCCACAGGGAGGTGTTTGGCTTTGACCCGTTTGGAGGCTCGCCGTTTGATGGTCGCGGTGGTCGCAGCCGCGGTAACGGCCACGCGCAACAGGCGCCGTTTGGCGGCCTCTTTGGCTCCTTCTTTGGCGGTGCGTTCCGTGTGCGTGCGTGTGTGTGAGTGTGTGTGTGTGTGTGGGTGTGTCGTGTCGTGTGACGTGACTCGTGCGCACCTGTTTCTTGCTTGTCCATCATATGTTCACCCACAAACACACCGTCAAACCCATCTACATCTACACATATACACACGCACGCACAGATGACATGTTTGGGGGCTTTGGGAATGGCTTTGGCGATGGCTTTGGGGGCGGCTTTGGTGACTTTGGTGCCCCATTTGGCGGCGGGATGGGCGGAAACGGATTTACACAATCGTCGTTCACCAGCAGCAGCTTTGGCGGCCCTGGAGGTGTGTGTGTGTCTGTGTGTGTGTGTGTCTGTGTGTGTCTGTGTGTGGGGTGTATTGCCCGCGCGTGCGTGTGTTGCATAAAGGCTGTCGGTCGCGTCTGCAGATGGTTTGGTTCACAAACCGTCGGCCATCTATCCACGCTGTCTGTCTCACTCTTTCTGTCTCCCTCTCTCTCTCTCTCTTTCTTTTTTTGTCTCAGGAACGAGCTTTTCCCAATCATCACAGACAGTCATCCAAGACGGCAAGCGAATAACGACAACCAGGTACGTTCCTTGCAACATCCGTACACTCCTTGTGTGGGTGTGCGTGTGCGTGTGCTGGATCATTCAATGAATGTGCACACCACCTTCTCATCTTCCGCGCGCGCACACACACACACACACATACACACACACACATGGCTGCCTACCTGTCTGTCTGATGCCACCAGGACGACCCAGAACGGCGTGACATCGGAGCGTGTGGAGGAGGTTGATCAGCGCACAGGCGAGGTGCGCTCCACTATCATACAATCACACACATATACACACACGCACGCACACACACACACACACGCGCGCGCGCGCGCGAACCATGTTCTCGTCTGTGTTTGCTCCCTCACCGCATCACTTTTGCTTCTACCGCGCCCCCCCCCCACACACACACACACGCACACACGCGCACGCACGCACAACATCAGGTGCTTGCGCTGACGATTGACGGTCAGGCGCAACCAGTTGGGCGACTCGAGGCTGCACCACCACCACGCCACTGATGGGTCAAGGCCTCCCCTCTTCACCACCACCTACTCCTTCCCCTTAATCACCTGCGGCTGAAGCGCCATCTCGTCGGCGCTCTCAATCCCCCAACGGACACCTCCACGTCGTCGTCGTTGTTGTTTTAGTTGTTGACCCCCGGATGGATCGGACGGATATGAAACCGAACCCGACTCGATTAACGAACGTGTGTTTGCGCGTTCGCATCAGTGGCTGGCACACACATCCCCCCCCCCTTTTTTTTTCCTTCGTGCTTTGTTTTTCTTCCTCATCCCCCCCCCCGCCTTATGCTCCTCTAGCTGCTTGTTTCTTCCTCCACTTTGCCCGCCATCCGCGACACTACCGTCCCGTCAGTACTCTCGTATTGTCGCCCTCATTCTTCTTGTTCTCTTTTTCCTTCTTCTGAATCGTCGCCAGCTCTTTTTTCGCCGTCATATCCTCCCCTTTCCTTTCCTTTCCTCTCCTTCCCTTCATCTCTGTGCCCTGAGTGACTTACTCCCCCCCCCCTTCTTGCTCTCCCCCTCCTTTTTCCCCACTGCTTCCCTCTCCCAGTCGGGAATTTTGCCCGGCAACACCACTAAAAGCACCCGTGATTCCTCCCTGCCTTCGACTGCCTTTAACCCCTCAAACCTCCCCACCCAGTTGCTACCTTTTACCTCCTCCCCTTCCTTACCCCATCTCCTCAGAAACACAAACACACGCGAATTGACTTTTTCTTTTCCGACGCATGCATGTGAGCACGAGAATGCATGCGCACACTTGAGTCTGCTCTCAACCTCCACTCCTTTAGCTGTTCCTCTTCTTGTTCTTCTTCTTTTTCCTACATGAGCGCGTTGATGCGTGGGGGTATCACTCTGTCGCTTCTCGACACGTGTTGCAGCCCTCTTGCACAACGCTCTTCCCTCCCGCTGTCTGCTTCTTCTTACTCTTGAGTGCCTCGAACACGTTTCTTCTTCTTCTTCTTCTTCTTCTTCTTCTTCTCCTGTGTATGCGTGTGTGTCATAGGTCATCCCTGTGAGGGGGTTTGCGGCTAGTGTCGCATGCCCTTCTCCACTTGCACCCCAGTTCCGATGACCCCCAACCGCTCTCTTGAGAGAAGTCGTGCGTGCGTTTTGTAGCTGTCACCGTTGAACAAGTTGCTTGTCACTGTTGCTTGCACTGCTGACCCTATTCCCCTGTTACTTCTTCCTTCTTCTGCTGTCCCTTTCACATTCGAGGGCCACTGCCACACCTGCACAAACACGTCTTGGCACTACCACGTGTGTGCTTGCTTGCTTGCTTGCTTGCTTGCTTGCACGACGTGTGCCTGCGTGTGTGTGCATGCGCTGCTGGGCCTGATGGTTATTCGGTGATTGGGGTTTTTGCTTGTTTTTATATCTTGCGTTGGCTGATGCACGCAGCAACACCGCAACCGCATTTTTGAGTTCTTCATCTCGCACAATACACAAGCACGACAATGGTGAATTGATGCATGTGGTGGTGGTGGTGTTAATGCCACTCTGAAACCAAACAGCACACAATGCTCTGCCTTTCTGCTTGGTTGGTTGTGCTTGCTCCACACAGCGTGTTTGGCGGCTTTATTCGCAAATGACCCCCCCCCCCAACCCGTAAGCAACACTCTCACTAAGCATGAACCATCTTCACACAACGAGCAAACAACACATCATACCAACCAACCATACCACACCACCTGCCAACTTGCGCGGATGATGAAGATGAGTGGGGCAAGTGACATCGCATCACATTACATCACATCAGCGCACACACACGAGGGCAGCAACAGTGATCTGCACAGCCACGCAAGACGGCACGGTGAAAAAGACACCGCGAATACAATAGCGCGCAATCAACTGTCAAAGGTGGCGCAGAGGACGATGACGGCTGTTGCATGTCTGCAGCTTCAGAACCAAAACACAAATCATATCACATGGCAACGCCGCTCCAAAAAAAAAAAAAAAAAAAAAGTCATCGGAACAAGCACAAACACAAACACACAACACACACGCACAGGAGACATGCGCACGCGCACACGAGACACGCATGTGTACGAACATGCACAACTGAGTCGCAACGAAAGGATACAACAAAACAGGGTGACAAAACCAGATGCGACACAACGTGACAATGAATGGATGGATAAAGTGTGGTAAGCTAAACACAGATGATGAGGAAATAGAGGAGGAGCTGATCACTGCTCCACAACACAGACACACAAACACTCAGACACACAGATGCACACGACATACAGACCATGCATAAAGGGCGCACATCAACAAAGAGATGGGAAGCCCGCTAGACTATTAATAGGTCTACAGGCCCTGCAAAAGGATGTGACTTGGTGAACCAGGCACACGACAACAACAGAACAGAAAAAGGCAGGGGAATGGATACTGGACTGATGCCCGCGTGCATACATAGTACACATGATGAGCAAGCGTGAGAAAAAAAATAGTGGGTCAACATAAGTGTACACTGCACTCCTGTCCCGGGATCAGACCACGCTCTGAGACACGCGGGCACCGACAAGGGCAGTTGTGGAGGCTGTTGTGGACATGCCGTTGCTGCCTTGCCCAGATGACTCATCATCGCCAGCATCGCCATCACTGGCACCACCGCTGGAACGATGCTGCTGCTGTTGCTGCTGCTGCATGTTGATATCCTGCATGTCCTGCTGCATCTGCAGCTGCTGCTTCATCAACTCTGCCTCGCGTGCCTGCCTCAGCTGCGCGGCGTCAAGGCTGTGGTACCCGGTCGCCGTGGACGCACGCGACGCTGTTCCGGACCGCACCTCCTGAATGCCGGCGCTGTTCTCCGGAATGGACGTGAAGATGGGCGACGTCAGCCCCGTGCTGCTTGGTGGCGCGTTGGTCAGGTGCCGGTTGTTGCTGGCCACGTTGGTTGGCGCCTGCACCACCTCCCCTGCACTCGTGCCGACACTGCTGCCGCTCGTCAGGGAGGATGCGCGCCCCGCCACCTGTGCCGCCTGCACCTTAAGGTCGGCAACAGAGGTGTAGCTCGGGCGTTGCTCGAGCAACTGCTTGGCGTCCGCCTTGCGTTCCTCAAGTTCCTGCGCAAACGTGGAAAAGTCCATGGCCCCGCCCGTGCTGTCGGCAATGGAGGTGGTCGTGCCGGCGTTTGGTACAGCACTGCACTTGCCCCTGGTGATGGTGGTGGTGGTGGTGGTGGTGGTGGTGGTGGTGGTGAGGGTGGCGAACGAGATTGAGGATGGTCAAGGGAAGCATTGTGTTGGTTGTGACATGAGTGATGCAGTGGAGGTGGAAACTTCAGGACACACACACACACACGCACTGTTGTGCACCTGAAGAAACGGAGGATGCGGCGGAATGTGGGGCGATCGTCGGGGTCGTGTTCCCAGCTGCGCAGCATCAGTTTGTACAGGTCCTGCAACACACACACACACACACGCAACAAGACGAGCAGTGAGCAGAGCAAGGCGAGGGAGAAATGGGCAGCAACGGGCACAGGTGGCTGCAGTGAACACCATTCGCCTGCAACGCACATCCCAGGCACACAACAGAAATACAAACTTGTGTGCACGAAACGTGCGCATCTGTGTGTGCACATGGGTACGTGTATATGTGTGTGTGTGTGTGTGTGTGTGTGTGTGTGTGTGTGTGTGCGTGCGTGTGTGTGCGTGTGTGTGTGTGTGTGTGTGTGTGGTCGTGTGTGTGTGTGTGTGTGTGTGTGCGTGCGTGTGTGTGTGTGTGTGTGTGTGTGTGTGTGTGTGTGCGTGCGTGCGTGCGCGCACCTCGCTGGAAAGCGCTGGCTTGGGCAGGCGCTCGCCCTTGGCAATGGCCAGGGCGGTCTCGACAGCGGAGTGGGAGGCCCACGGGGTTGTGCCAAGGGTCATCACTTCCCATGCAAGCACGCCCCATGCCCACACGTCAGAAGCAGACGAGAACAGCTTCTTCTCAATCGCTTCAAGCGGCATCCTGAGGAAGATCAAGCACAACAACACGTGCAACAGGGTATAATTGTGCGTGTGTGTGCGTGCGTGTCAGATGAGTGTTCATGAATCACATCGCGTGTGATGCAGAGAACACGTACTACAACAACCACACCATCAACGCTCACATCACAGTCACCACCAGAACCAGCTACCACCACCATGTGTGTGCAACTGACCACTTGATGGGCACCATGTCGTCGCTCTTCTTGCGGTAGTAGTCCGTGTTGGCCATCAGCCGTGACATGCCAAAATCACTCAGCCGCACGTCGTCCAGCTGGCTGCCCACAAGCACGTTGCGCGCGGCAATGTCCCGGTGCACAATGTTGTGCGAGGCGAGGTACACGCACGCGTCTGCAATCTTGGCCAGGATGTTGAACAGCCTGTCCTCCGTGACGGCGGAGGCGCGGGTGTTGCGCAGCACCTGCACCAGGCTGCCCATCTCCATGTACTCCGTCATGAGCAGCACGGGCTTGGCGTCAACCTGCACCGCCACAATGCGGGTGATGTGCGGGTGGTCCAGCATGGCCAGCAGCCGGCACTCGTACAGAAACGTGTTCTGCTCCTCAGAGTCGACGTCCTGGTTCAAGCGCTTGACGGCAACCTGCATCACGCTGCCGTTGCGCTCGAGGTCACCAAGCATGACAACGCCAAACGCGCCGCGCCCAAGCTCGCGACCAAGCGTCACCTGGTGCATCTGCACCTTGAGGCTCTCGTAGCGCGAGGAGAGGGCCTTGTCGTAGCCAAACCGCTGCACCATCTCGTCGTGCACCTGCTGCTGCGCCCGCTTGATCTCCTGCTCGAAGATGCGGCGACGCAGCGATTCCTGGCGGTAGCGGCGGAACAGCACAATACCGCCCACAACAAGCACAAAGGCAACCACCATGACAATGGCAACAATGACGGCCCACTGGTTGCTCTCGTTCGCCTTGTTGGCGGCTGCGAGGAGCACGCAGTCTTCCTCTTGCTGGAGGGCCGACTCCTGGCAAATTTGCTCCAAGGGCAGCGGCGGCAGGCTAAGTGACGCACGCCACCGCTCCAGCTGTCACCGTTGTGTCGTTTCGTCATTGGGGGGGGGGGTGCCGTGTGCGATGACGAGAGTTGTGCAGCGCAGGTTGGTGATGAGCAAAAGCGACAAATGTGAGCGATAGCGGGCAACCCATGGCTTCTCAATCGGCTCCCAACACAGCGCAAGCACGCGAAGCAGCCATGCAGTGCAAGCACGCAAGGCAAGCACTGTGTGTTACCTGTTGGATGCGGCCGTAGTTGTCTGTGATGGCGCGATACGAGGCGGTGGTGGCGGCAACAAAGGTGTCATAGTAGTCATCAAACAGCTCCTCCCACTCGTAATCGGGTAAGTAGAAGAAATCGTCGCTCAGGAGAAACTCGCTGAACACGTGCTGATCTGTGCGCCATAAATGTGTGCGTGTGTGTGTGTGTGCGTGTGTGTGTGTGTGCGTGTGTGTGTGCGTGCGTGTGTGTGTGTGTGTGTGCGTGTGTGTGTGTGTGTGTGTGAATCAGGTGGCGGCGGTTCGGAAATGGGAGGGGGGACGCCGGTGCAAGTGTCACAAAACGTAGAACCAACACACAACACAACACAACACAGCACAGCACAGCACACGCCACCAAACAGAATGCAACGACTCACCGAAAGCGCCCTGGTACTCTGAGAAGCCGAGCATGAGGAGGTCCTGTGCCGGGTTGCCGTCTTCCAGGAAATAGAAGCGAAGAACATCAAACAGGTCGTCAGCCATCTCCCGCGGCCAGTCATCATCAAGCTGGTGCCATCAAAGAGGACAAGTGTCGCAGGGGTGTGGAGGTGGAGGTGGAGGTGGAGAGGAATGCGTACACGCACGTAAGCATGTTGAAATGTGAGCGGACAGCAGTGGAAGGTGTGACGCAGCGGGCACGATGCACATGACCGAGGCAGCACATGTGCTTTCTCGGCGGCACTCCCAACTGCATAGCACCAATCTCCTCATCAGTGCTTTGTCGATCACTCGCTAACCCACCCACTTGCTCACTTTCTTTTCCACTCACATTCAACCCACCCACACACACGCACACGGCCCCACTCGTAACCCCACTGCAAACCCCATCCCTTCTCTTCCTCCTCTCTTCGTCTCTCCTCCCTCACCACCACCATCGCCAACACCATCCCTCGTGTGCACGCACCAGGACTTGCTTCTGCTCCTCGCGAAGGTGTGAGCGGCGGTACTGGCCCGACAGCGGCAGACGTGTCACAGGCAGCGTCGACAGCCACCCGAAAAAGTCCTGCATCACCTCCTTCTTCGACGCGGCCGTGCCGCTGCGAATGGAGTACGACTCGCCGCCCTCAGCAAAGAACGGGGCGTAGTTGATAATCTTCCCGGGTGTCGTGCTGGACTCAAGGCCTTTCGGGCACAGTTTCGCTGTGCATATGTCAAGCTGACCTTTCTCCTCGTTGTACACCTGTTTACAATCATGCATGTGTGTGTGCGTGTGCGTGTGTAAGCGTGAGTGAGGGTGTGCGTGGGGAGGGAAAAGGGCGGTTGGGAAGCAAGGGTGGTGGTCGATTCAGTCTCAACACGTCGCAGGGCATGATTGGACATCCCAGCGCTGATCTGCTGAGGATGATTCAGTGCGTCTGGTTCAATGACTCATCACCCGTGGACTCGTTTGCGAATGCATGCATGCAGAGCGGACAGGTCACGAGCCCACTGCATCATGGCACCATGTTGGCGCGGAGTTCTCACCCATTCAGATCCCGGGAATCGGAGGCGGCGGCCCCAGTACCCGTTGGTCGTGTCCGGCTGCCACTTCTCACCATCTGCACACATACACGCACACAAGCATATGAGTTTAAGTGTTATCCCTCAAGTCGGAACACAGCACTTCATCGCGGTGGCACGCTTTGACGCGACAAACGACAAACCACACACACATACAACACACAACACACAACACACATACAACACACAACACACACGCACATCCACCCATCACAGCAAAGCATGTTGGGCGTACGTACCGCGCTGGACGTTGATGCTGTACTTTCCGTCTGGGAGGAGCAGCTGTGTGAGTGTGCCGGGCATGGAGAGCACACCCGCGCAGCGCCCCGTCGGAAACGCCGTCTTGCGGTCGCACTTGCCCGCTGATAAAGGGGGGGGGTGCATGCAGACGTGGTTGAGCGAAAGCGAGAATGTGTGTGTGTGTGTGTGTGTGTGTGTTGTGTGTGCGTGAGTGTGTGTGTGTTGTGTTGTGTGTTGTGTGTGTGAGATATGTGTGTGTTGTGTGTTGTGTGTTGTGTGTGTGAGATATGTGTGTGTTGTGTGTTGTGTGTGCGTGTTGTGTGTTGTGTGTTGTGTGTGTGTGCGTTGTGTGTGCGTGTGCGTGCGCGTGTGTGATGTGTGTGATGTGTGGTGTGTGGTGTGTGTGTGATGTGTGTGATGACGATGGGCATGGCCTCAGTGTAACAGTGCAGGTGCACAAGTCCACAAGGATACAACAAACCACCAACCGCCACACCGTCCCCCCTCCCTCGCCTTCCCCCTCTCTTCGCCCCGTTGCACTGGCGCTGCTGTGCGTACTTGTTGCGAGCTCCGTCTGGCAGTTTGAGGAGCGCACGAGGCGCGAGAAGAGGCGGATGGCGTACTTGAGGCCCGGGTGGTCGAGGTACGGCTCAAAGGTGGTGGCGTTGAAGAAGAGATTCTGCTCCGTGTACCGCCCCTTGCAGTCGTCAAAGCCCTCGCACTCCTGCGTTGTTGTCTGCAGCACAGGCGCGACAAACGCATACAGGTAGTTGACCTGTTTGGCGTGCCAGAGTTGTCGGTAGACAGAGGGTTGGTGGATGGAGGGTAGGGGGGCAGACGGGGGTGAGAGAAGCGTGGAGCACAACACAAGCAAGAATGGCAGCGGTGGTGGTGAACGGCTTCAAGCATGCGGAAATGGTTTGGTTTGCTCTCTCGCAGTCACGTGCATTTGCACAGGTACAACACAAGGCACAAAACCATGCACACACACGCACGCACACACGCACACACACGGCGCGTGCACCAAACGCTGCACCCACACACACACGCACACGCACACGCACACGCACACGCACACACACACACACACACACGCACACGCGCACACATACACACACACGGCGCGTGCACCAAACAATGCACCCAACGCGCGTACGACGTCCGGTACCTGCGGAGTGAGGCAGTAGCCCCAGTCTGGCTCGCCGTCGCCGTTGTGGTCTTTGCCGTTCAGCAGCTCCGAGTGGGCAACAAGCTCCTCAAGCGTCTCCGGCGGCTGCAGGCCGTTCCTGGTGGTGACGGGAGGTGAAGTGTGTGTTGGCGGGAAAGGAAAGCATTAAGGGGTTGGACGATGCAACAGGGAGGGGTGAGCTCTGGTGAACTGAGGATGGCACGTACACGCTTGGGCATTTGTAAAACAACGCACATGATACAGCACAGGGAGACAGACAGAAAAGACTTTTGCGTACATGCACGTACGCACAATACAGGACACACGCACAGATACGCGCACAGATATCCGACACAGGACGCGCGCACAGATACGCACACGTACACACACGACACGACACACACGACATACGACACACGACACACAACACACGACACACAACACACAACACATGCCGACCTGTCATAGACATCCTGGCGGTAACCGAGCGCAACGTAGTCTGTGTCGAGCGGGAGAGCGCGCACGGTTCCGTTGAAGGAAACAGCCTCGCGTGTGGCAGGGTTCACATCTGTCCACCCAATCTTGGCTGTTGTGCATGGCGTGATGGGAGGGGTGTGTGAGGAGGGGAGGGTGTGTTAGGGTGAACGAGTGCGAGAAAAGAAGGTGGGTGGGTGAGTAAGCGATGAGGGATGCGTGGTTTTACCATTGACTTGCCACCACGCGATAGAAGCACGCACAAACGCACACGCGACCGCATCCACAAACGCACACGCACGCAGGTGCGCGCAAACATGCACACAGCAGACCAACCTGTGTTCTCTGAGATCCAAGGGCTGAGGTTTTCAAGGCCATCGACAATGGCGGGAAGCCAGGGCGGCTGTACGATGTACGCATCATAGATGCCTGAGGATGACGCGTTAGACGGGAGAAAGGAGGTGAGTGATTCAAGCCATCAACCATGCGTTGAGTATCTGTTGAACCGAACATCACATGCACATACGCACAACGTCCAGGCACAAAACAGTTCACACGAAGACACACACGCGCGCACACACGAACGCACACGGGCGGGCCCACACAGGCACATTTGCACACTTGCACACGCACCTGCGCCTGCCTCTTGGAAGAGACCGCCGCCGCGAGCACGGTAGCTGACGCCGACGTCCTGTCGAAGGTCTTCCTCCATTGTGTCTTCATCGCCTTCGCCATCCTCGCCGTTGTACGTGAGCTGAACGCGGGCGCCAGTGCATGCGTTGAACTCCTTGAGGCGTGGGATCCACAGGTCCTCACGCTCAAACGCAAGCAGAGACGCGGGGATGCCCTGATACACGCAGCACTTGTCCTCGAGCCAGGTGCTGTTGTGGGCAAGGCACACGGTGCAATCGCACGCCGTGGTGGTGATTTCGTTACCGCACTGGAGATCCTCCGTGGTGCGTCGCTCCCGCTGAAAGTGGAATGTGGCTGAGACGGTTGCGGACGACAACAGGGCTGCCGCCGCAACAGCGGCCAGGAGAGCCGCCACGCTCAGCACACGTGGACCTGTCATGCCCGCCTAGACGCTTCTCAGAGACGGGGGCGGTACGTCTGCGCGTGCGCTTGCGCTTGCGTGCTTGGGGGTGTGTATGCGTGGGGTGTTGTTGTTGAGTCGGTTCTGCAGTTGAAGCAGGTGGTGGTGGCGGTGGTGTGAAGAGGGAGCGCGTCAATGCGAAGGAAGTGTCAATCGAGGAGAATGGACGGCCAATGGAAAGAAACACAGGTGGGGGGGGAGTGTGTGGGAATGGATATGTGGTGATGGCGAGTGAGTGTTGTGAGACAGTATGATGTGCGAACAAGTGATGGAGAGGAAGTTGGAGTCGGATGACTTCTTGTGAGCCTTGCTCAATATCCAAGCAAGCAATCAAGCAGCAGGACGTTGTTGGGGGAAAAGGAAAAAGCAATGAAGAGAAGAGACAGAGAAAGTAAGGCAAGAAAGAAGCACCGCAGAGCAGATGCGTCGAGCGCCTTTTGAACGAGGTGCGAGGAACGGCAACACACACACCCAAAACCATCGAAGGTCGGCGGCATACCAGCATCCAGAACAAGTCTTGACACACGAACCTTCGTGTTGATGTGATGCTCTTCAAGTCAGGGTAGACGGCCTCGTCAGGGTCGGTGTGGTTGGCGTGCGGTTGGTGCGTGTGGGGTGTTGTGTGTGTTTGCGTGTGTGTTGCTAATCATGCGATATGTGATTGGGTGTGTCGGTGGTGGTTGTGTGTGGTTGGGGGGTTTTGTGTGATTGAGTGTGTGGTTGTGTGTGGGTGAGTGCTGAATGGTTGCGTGGTGTCAAGTCAAGGCAGAGCCTGCGCGACAAACACGAGCGAGCGAGGCCGGAGGAAAAGTTGCACGAGAGATCGACGAACGGTTTTGACAGCAGTTGTGCTGCTTCTGGCCTTGTTGTTGGGTGCGGATGCTTTGTGCTTGGGTTGGTGCGATTTCGAAGAATCGCACAATGATGATGTCATCCGTGTCAGGTTGTGCTGTCGTTTGTCCGTTTTGTATGCTCCGCATTGCGTCAGTTCAAATTTCACTGAATTCAGTGTTTGGCGGCTTGGCGGCTTGGCGGGAATGTTTCAAACACTGAGGTTGTGTGTGTGTGTGTGTGTGTGTGTGTGTGTGTGTGTGTGTGTGTGTGTGTGTGTGTGTGTGTGTGTGTGTGTGTGTGTGTGTGTGTGTGTGTGTGTGTGCACATGTGTGTGTGAACACAGATTGACGTCTTGCTGCGACTACGAGGGAAAAGGCGGGCGCGAAATCCTCCACAACCACACACAACAAGCAAGCGCACACACACATGCATATTCCTCAGCACACACAGGCACACAACAAACAACAACAACTGACAGCAGCAGCAGCAACATAGACACACACACGCACGCGCGCGTGCACGTGAATGTCATATTGAGCCTGACACTTTCCTAGCATGGATGAGGTGCATTCGTTGAGGGAGGAGCACAGGTGGCACACGAACCAAGTGGTCGTGGGTGATCTGTGCCTGCCATGCGTGGCGAGCTGCATTCAGCGCGGGCTGAATCTGGACCACTGTCTCGGCGCCCTTCTTGCAGTGCTGAAGGACCACGTCGTCCTCGCCAGCACCGTGCTCAACCACACCCCCGATGTGCTCGACGCCTTGCTGCGCGCCCTCGTCCATGCTGCAGCAGTCGACACTGGCGCCAACAACAACAACAACAACAACAACAATGGTGACCCCGCTCACCCACAATCTCCACAAGCATGTACGTCAAACAGGGGGGGGGGGGCTCACTGGCAACCATGCGCCCTTGGCGCCAACATCCCTTTGCGTACATGTGCTTCTGTGGCTGCCTGTCGCATTGACGTTTTGTTGTTGATCAGACTGACGCTGAATATCAATTCCGACGCGAACTCATGTCGCGTCACGGCACGACAGGTCTCAGGTGCTTTTTGGAGAAACCGCTGAACACGCCGCACACAACAGCCGCCCTCGCCATGCTGCTCTGCTCTCAGGTGAGGCAACCCTTTTCACAACGAGGTTATGCCAATCGAGATGCGTCAAACAACGGCGCATACATGTCACCTCAGCTGCGCTCTGTGTATTGTCTGTATGTGTGTATGTGTGTATGCGCGTGTGTGCGTGTGTGTACCACATTGCGCACTCAAACCCACGTGAAAGGTTGTCCACTCTTTTTCCATCCTTACGCATGCAGTAGCACCGCCTTGACATACACACACGCACACAGTGAGTGCATAAACACGACATCACACACACACAATGACCCACTCACCCACCCACACACACACACACACACACACACACACACACACACACACACACACACACACACACACACACACTCACTTACGCACTGGAATGGTACAGGTGCATGCGATGCGCGGAGGCTCGAGCAAGAAGATGGTCGCGCTGTTGGAGCTGCTGGTCGACACGCTCGTGGACGCAGGGCCCGATGCATGCCAACACCTGAAGCAGCATGGAGACGCGCTGCTGGAAACAATGGCGCCATTGGTGGCAACGCTGCCTTCGCGCCTGCCAGTCCTGGTGGTGCTCACCCTACACAAGCAAGGAGTTCTTCACCTGCCGTCCCTCAGCCCCATCCACCGCGTCCGCCTCACAGAAGGCGTGTGCCATGCACTGCCAGAGCGCACGCGGCAACCCCACGACAGTGGGCCCTACGCAGCAGTCCTCGACCTCATCACCCTGCGTGGAACACAGCTGCCGCTAGAATTGCTGCAGACGCGGCGATGTGCTGATGCTCTGCGGTCGCTCCTCCACTCGGCTGACAACGACGTCGCAGAAGTGACGGTGCGCCTCATGCACAACGCGTGCACGTCCGGCCCACATGCGCGCGCGGCGTGTGCGTACTTCCAGACAGCACAGCTGCAAGAAGACGTGTGGGCCGTCGCGCGCCGTGCGAGCACAGCAACAGCAACGACAGCAGCCGCCACCGCAGACACCACCACTTCCAAGGAGGCAGACAGCGCCACCACGTGCGAGGCAAGCAACGCCGCCGCCACACCAAACCTCCTGGGTGCGGCGCTGACCTGCGCGCTCGCGCTAACGTACAACTCAAGCCCGGCCCGCTTCCTCGCTGCACTCACAACAGCAACGCAGCTGGCAAACTCACGCATGACGCGCAGAGACGATGAAAGCACCGCAGCAGATGCTGCTGGCGCGGTTGGTCGTGGCCATGCATCGGAAGAACTACCACCAAAACGCCCTGCATCGACACGCCGGCACACGCACATGAGCGCCACCGCCACCA